GTCGTGCCCTGACGTACTGTAAATTAAATATAAAAAAGGAGTTCAACCAAGGTTCCCAAAAGTGGAAATCGAGTACCAGCCAGGTAATAACAAGAATAATTATACAAGTATGAACAACTTGGAAATCTTTTAAGCTTTTAAGAACTGTTCCTAATGCATATTACATTAACAAGTGGAATTAGCTCTCCATAAGGCTACATAACCTTCATGAATTTTTAATGTGCCGATGCCGCAAATACCATCAAATGAAGCAAAATAGCTTTGTCTATGAAGTATTATTGTGCAAAATCTAATTTTCCAACCAGTTTGAGAATGCGATCTCATGACTGTATCAGAAAACACATCCTCGTCATACTTCTCAGCACTCTGTAATTCTCTGCTACGGCTACGTGCTCCTATTCATGCTGAAAATACTTGGAACAATCAAATGTGCACAGGCTCCCTTTCTTTTCTTTTTTCTACTCAAGCACAAATGCATAGACATACGCAATCACACACACACGCACACACTCACACAACACAGGCACGACATTCATGCCATGTGATCTTGCTAGGCATTATGCCAACGGCCAAACATGTCACTTACCAGAAATCTCTCTGAGACAGAGCGAGATAGAGAGAGAGAGACAGAGAGAGGGAGAAAAATTCTGCACATTTGCCAGTTTGTGAGAGCTCCTTGTCAAGTGTAAGTACAGTACATACACAGGGAACATGAAATTTAGCTGCTACAGTTATCTGCAATGGTGTGGGGGCTGTCGATTCTGAGGGGAAAAAAAAGAGGCACGTGATCTTTGAGATCTAATGTGGAATTGTTCTGAAGAACATGCCATGTTTACTGTTCATTGTCTAAATTCTTGGAAGGCTTCCTGAAAAGCACGTAGAGAGCCAAAGCAGCCCAAATCACTTACATTACAGGATTCCTAATGGCTTTTGCTGATCCTCTCTTTCTCTCATTTGCTCCCTTATTACTTTCCCACTTTTCTGCATTTCAGCATGTACATAAATTTCAGCGTGTACATACATGGACTGTACTGTACCTGTGTGTTTGCGCACATTAAATGACAACAAAGCTGGACAATTTGTACTTTATGGTATTATAAACTTAGATCCATGGCTGTGCTATTATCTCTGTATACAACTACAAACCACTGTGGAATAACAATAATTTTAAAGCCACACATTGAAGCCCTCACGTTTTATCTTATCCTCAAATCGGTTTCCTTGAATGAGATTAAGAGTAGGAGGAACTTTGGTCGTTGTGAATTCCAAGAAAAATATTATAATATTACATATTAAATGAGCAGTGAATTCGAGGAACTGCCCAACCCGGTTTTGAGGGTTTGGTAATTGTCTATGAACATGTGGTATGCAAGTAGGCAGCAAACTAATGGTGTCACACAGGACTAATGAGAATGAGAGAGAGAGAATGAGAAATGCAAATTTTCTTGTGCCAACTTAAACAAAAAGACAACTTAACAACTAAACAGCTGGTCTGTTTTTTTTGGGATTCTTTTCTTCCTGACCAAACATTTTTACCATTGTTTCAGGTGGCACATGTTACTGTACCGGGTGGCTACTGTGTATTAGTTGGAAGACAGACTAGTGGAACATCGGTCATTTGGACATAATTTAGTTTATCTAAGTAAATTTATCTTTCAGCAGCACTGCCAAATTCACCCATGTAGCAGCCAATCTGATTTTATGTGACTCCCAACTTAATTTTGGCTTTAATAAGAAAATATGTGGACAAGGCGAGGTCACTGGGGCCTCCAACTTTGTTTGCTATTCATCTGCATTTCAGGAGTTGAGAATTTATACCCCCTTAAACCCACACACAGAGATGAGTGGATTATCTTCCTCTATGGGTTACTGCGAAATGTGTGTGTGTGTTTCAAACATTTTGAATGGTGAACAACAAAAGTCATCTCAAATTTACGGAAATTACGGACGCTGAACTTCTCTCATATTGACTGATCTATCAAAAGAACCAAGCTACTTCCTTTCAGCCTCTCCAGTACATTAATTAAATATTCTGTGAGAAATGCAGTGAGGAAAGACTACATGACAAAACATTTGCCTGTTGACCAATCACAACCAATGCAATACAGACCTGGAAATAGTTAGGCGTAATTTGCAAGCAGATTATAATTGTTGCCATTTCAAGGAAAAACCACCTTGACACCTACCCAGTCAAATATAAACTACTGTGTACTGGAATGCAGACCAATTGATTTGTCCAGAAAATGTAGATGAAATTAGAATTTGCTTCAAATAAAATATAACATTTACATCTTCGACAGCTGTGACAAGTGACTTCATGATGGATATCTGCCGTCTCTCCGGCTTAACATTCAGCAGAAAAACATTTCTTCACGGTTAACCGTTTGAATTTCAGTTCCATTAACAACAGCCAACAAGCCTGAACACACCACTAGCAGCAGCTTAACTAGAACAGGCTCTGCACTACGTAGAAAATACAAGACTAATGCAAGACAATGATGTATGACTGGTGCCCTGTATCGCATACCATCAGCAATGACTCATTACTGTCTCAGGAAAGGAAAATCATACACACATAAACACACTCCCCACATGAGTATACACGCATATACAGTACAGAGAAGAGTGCACCAAGCCTGAGGGCACACAAAAAAAGCAAATGAAGCAGGGACAAAAACAAGTCTCCAGGTTTTAAGTGTAGTTTTTGGATGAATAAATGGCTTTTTAATAAAGCAAGTGAACAAATTTCTGGTTAAGATGATTTTTAATATCATCTGCATGCAGTTTTTTGTTTTTACTCCTCTAACTTGTATCGCTCTGCGAAGCTCTAGAGGAATTTTATGGAGGTTTGAACCTGACTATGTTTTCTTAGTATCTTTCCATGTGCTGAGACAACATCAACTCTTGTTCACGTATGGGTTTAACAAGATATGACGCAAGACCCTCAATGAGGCAAGAATCTCTCGGTCTTCGTATTTTCACTCTCTTTCTGTCAGTATCCGCATCAGTTGCATGTGAAACTCTGCTGTCGTTCTCTCTCCTTGACACTCCCCACTTGCACACAGCCCCGGGCCCCCTTGTGGAATGCTGTATAGTGTGAGGCCTATGGAGGAAGGGCATCCCGGGACACAGCGAGAGCGCACAGACACACACACGCAAACACACTCACCGACACACGCAAACACGCACACACAGACAAATACAGCTGTTGAGAGCCATCACAACCCTTTGGCAGACGTCCAAGTCAAAGACGAGTGGTGTTGGAGGGCCTCCGTTTAGAGAGAAAGAGAAAAAAAAGTCCCACATTTTCCATGTATGTTGTGTTAAGCTCTGAAGATAGAAACTTGGCAGTACAAACCCACATTACCCCGAACTGATTTCCCCGTATTGGGGGAGGGATATCATAAACCACCTTGTCTTTGTGTTGCTTTAGGGATGGCAGGTACGTCAATGGATACATACCGATTAAGTTATTCAAAAGGGAAGCACAATACATCTTATCCCTCCATGATATTTTTCACACGGGAGAAACAAATGGGCAGTAAAATGCCAAAACACTCTGAAGTGGTATTCAAAATTCTAAAGTGATAAGGTTTTTAAACACTCTACACTACTTAAATGATTCATATAGCTTTAGGCTGTCCTTTTAACCTCTGACCTGTGCACCTGTCAGAGATACACTCAAGTGTGGGTTGTCTACCATATACGACAAAGATAAGAGGCAGACCAGACCGAACTTGGAAATATCTGGGATTTTTTGTCATAGTCATCTTGAGAAAAAACACACACGGCTTGACGGCGGACTAGAGAACAAGAACGAGAGCATGTGAGAGGGAAGGAAAGTGACAGGAAATGAAGAAAATTGCCACAAGCTACATGCCGGCTAGCCACACACTGCACCCATGTACACACAGGAGAAGGAGG